ATTCGCGTGTGTGAGGTACCTATTTTTTATATTCCAACGTTGTCTCAATTTTCATTATACTTTTAAATGATTCATACTTAAACAAAGATTGATAATATTTTATACATCCTTTATATAAAGATGTAAGCAAATTCTTAATATTGTGAAATAATTTGCGCTCAATACGGCTTTGATTAAAAGTATTAAATATTTTGTTAATCATTATTTTCCAGCTAAAAAATTAATTTATAACACTATAACTATTGCTACAAATTATTCTGTGTTCCAAAAATTCTTTAAACTTATGTACAAAGCCAATCATGGCTCGGTAAAATAACTCTGTTACGACTTATTTAAAATAAAAAATATAAAATAAATTCGGGAAACTTATTTAAAACATTAAATAAGAAATAAGTCAAAAGTGTAGTTATTTAAAATAATAAATACTAAATAACTCTTTTATATTTTTTATTTAAAGTATATACTTTAAATAACTTTATTTAACTCTTAGTACACACCTTAGTTTTGGATACTCTTACTATACGTTAAGTTATTCGTGTTCTGGATTAATTTTCATCACTTTTACGAGTATATAAAAATTGTTAAATGATTTTTACGTATATTTTGACATCTTTAAAAAGTATTTGTAAAGTTGTATATTTATAAAGTTGTATAACAAATTGTATATGCTTCTTATAGAAATAAATCCGGTGCTTCTGACGGAAGTAAATTGCTGAAATTGCTGAAATAAATCTATCAAATTAATAGAAATTTCAGCGATTTATTTGCATCAGGAATATCGAAAAAAAAATGGATATTGTTGTATAGCTTACATCCACTTCTTCAGAAGGCAGTAGTGCGCAGGGAAATTTTTACGGTTACAGGAAAAAGGTTCTTATGTCCTCTCTCAGGTTTCTCTCTAATATCATTTTAATGAAATTATAGAATTCTGTGGAGCTGCTTGGCTTCTGTTGCTATTATTATAGGTTCCAACAGGATGTGAGTTTAGGACTAGATTAAGTTTACATTGTATTAATGTAAAACTGTTAGAATTGTTGGAATGATGTTAACATTTAATTTACTAGGTACACTGTAAAAAAATTCAAATGTTTTATTTATAATACAATAATTCTTTCGCTCATGAATCTTTTTCTCAGTCACTGTGTTACACTACTAATAACAAGTCACACAAAAATTTGACTATATTTCTAAGTCATCTATTTCAAACTGAAATAATGAGATATATTTAAACAGTATTTAATAATAAAATATATTTATACAACTTTTCTTTACATTCGCCTTTGAATAAACAAAGCACGCTTAAATGTCTTTAAACAAAATTCTAATACATTATAATATGGATAAGATAAGATTTTATTTATGACATTTTGTTTATGACATTACATGTCACGATTATTTGTTCCAAGCACGGAATATTAGAAACTTTTTTCCGACTAGATCGTAAACGAGGAAAATTATGAAATTATTTTCCGATTGCAACGAAATATTGAATATTTTAGTTCATTAAGAAGATGATAAGAAAAGCAGATAAGATATCCATTTGGATGTAAGAGGGTAGAAAGAAAATTTATGCTTTTCTTATTTCTTCGAAATATTAGGGAGATAGAAGAATACAAATTTAGATATGATAATAGAACTGCAGAAATAGATTTTTGAAATAAATGAAAATAAATAAGGAGAAGATAATGTTCTTATATCGAATATAAAAATATAATTTCAGATAATTTGGATTAATATAATTATCGTTTGGCTCATCATGTAAATTTTCATATTAATTGAAACTAATATAGACAATACTCGTTTTTTCAAAATTATGACTTTGTTTTTCCCGATAATACAAATGTAAATAATTTTCCTGCACTAGTGTACCACAGAAGTACGATTCGGCGAATATGATATTTTAATTCGGTAATTATTTAGGTCAGTAAATAATTACTCTTACACTTTTTATCAAGGCACACAGTACAGATATCAGATACTCAATGGATGTCAGTTGTTGGTCTAATTTTAGAACATTTCCGATTGGACGAAATTCCTGTTCATATCAAAGATGGACGCATAATGTAAGGAAACTATTTTCAACAATTCTTCAACGCATTCAAAACATAATTTACATTATTTCCGCTTTTCGACTACCTAGACTTTTTTTTATTAATGCCCAATCTTCCAGTATATCCGCGTCGTTGAGCATATAAACGATGTAAGGACCTGCAACGGAAACTGCTCGTCTTCTCTCCGAATGATTCCTACGTCTTCTACCAGTTGTATTAAGCCACAAATCCGCATGTATGTCTACGTTATTTCTATCTTCCTCTAGACGACGAATCTTGTCTTGTAGATCGTTATGAATGCAATCCCAAACCAAACCTTTCTCACTTTCAAAATTTTGGAAAGCGGCTAGTTCTTCTGCTAGGAATTTATTCTGAATATTTTGTAATCTGTATTGCTTTAATATTCCAGCCACTTCTGTTTTCGTTTTCATGTTTTCCTTCAGTCGTTCCAGTGGTATCAGATATTCCTCAGATTTTCCAACACGAACTTCACCGAGCTTTGTGTCCACTTGTGTAATTCTTTCTCGATATAATCTGAAATAAATGACAATTATTAAAATACATATTTATATTGTATTTTTCTAAAAAAAATATCAGAATCTATATCATCAGAATATATATCAAAATATATATAATATGTGTATACTTACTGTTCCTTGAGTAAAGTAAATTGTCTTTCCAAGTCTAGCAAATTGTCCATACATTCATTGCGTCTCCTCTCACATTCATCCTCATCCATCTCTGACGAGTCATCGCTGTCAGTGTGTTCTGGACTGCTGTCACATGACCCAGAACTCTGATTACTCTCGTTACTGTCGTGAGACATCTCTTCCCCTTCACCTTCTGACTCATCCTTAACGCTTGGCATTTGTGCTATAAATAAAAAGTTCGTTACTTAATAAAAGGTATTTTATTCTCATAATAGAAACACATCTTTTGTTAAAGGAATAAGAGGGTTCTTAGGACCCATAAAAATTTCTTGTTATTAATTTTAGAAAGTTTTTTGAAATTTTCAACTATATAAAAAATTATAATATTTGAATTGACATAAATATTGTACAATAATTAGCCTGTTTGAATAAAACAAAACTGTAAATAATAAAATTGTGAAACATAAAATTATTTCATATCAACACTTTAAAAATTATGAAAATATCAGGATTTTCAAAATCCATATATTCCAATTACAAGTTAAATAAGGCATCTAATTGATAGATATTTAGAAAAAATTTTGAGAAAACTGGATTCTGAGTTTGTGTGACGAAAATGTATTTAAATAAGGTAAAAAATATGATTGATTTTCTATATCATGATCACTTAGCGATTTAAAGTTTCCGAACCTTTTTTAAAAAACTAAAATAGTATACGTTTCTACATTGGAAAGTAAATATATTTTAAACAAATGCCCGGTAGGTAAGGATTAAGAAAATTCATAACATAACCTATACAAAAACAATTAAGTTTACGTCAAAGTGAGATCAGAGTAAAGGGAAATATCGTTCAATTTTCGAATATCCAGTTTTTATAGGAAATAATGTTTCACATTTTAACGTCACATATTTAATTACTTTGCATAATGGGATTATTTGCGTCCAATTAAACGATAGGTTAATTCCGAAGTTTCTTTACTTCGAAGACAGAACCTAATGAAGCTTCGAGTTTCTAGAAAATTTTCTATCGCATCTCACGAAGATCTAAAGTCTAAATCGAACGAAATTCTTACTGAAATTGTCAATACACTTACTTAAATAATGTAATATCTGATCGTTGATATAACCTCTCGATACGGCTTGATCCAACAGACGCTAACAGCTGGCTTGCGCGCCACAATGCCACAATGCCAGAGCATTCTTGTGCTCCTCATACTTACCAACGGCGTAGCAAGGAAAAAGAACACTAGATTGGACTGAAATGTTTGCAACTCATCTTCTTATTTGGCTTTTATTACATTTTCTGCATTCAAAACAAGACAAATGTATCATTATTGTAGAAAATTATTTAAAAAATGTATTTTCTCTCTCTTTTTCAAGATACATAGGTGTAATCTGCAGAGAAAACTTGATATAATGGTTAGATAATTCTACATTTATGCCTGCAGATGACGCTAAGATCTCGAAATGCATTCAATAAAGATGCAGAGAAATGATTTTGAATCGTCTCTGGTTGATCCTCTGATGATAAACTGATTAGTTTTCAATTAATTTAATCAATTATTATATAATTTGTTAAGTAATACCTTTTACAATATTTGCCTTTTGTTAAGAGGATATTATTATTTTTTTGAAACACAATATTATTTATAATTTTTTGGAATATGATAAAATTTGAACTATTTCTTCTAATTTATATTCACGAAAAGCTATAATAATCGGGTGACAGATTCTAGATATATCTAAATATTTTGCTATAAACAATTGTGGCAGTTGAATTAATCATCTATTAAATTAATCAGAGTTTGAAGTTCACCCCTATAATAAATTAAACCAAAATTAAAATTAATCTACATTGAAATAGATATTAATGCGCAGACTTAACGCATTTCAATTTAGTTATTATTGCAATTTAGACAATTAAAAAATGCAGCAAAGGCATAAAATTTTCTTATTTTTACAAGAATAAATTCTGTCTTCTGTTGCACTAATGCAGTAAATGGTGTGCTGGTTGCTCGAGAGTTAGATTAAAAAATTTTAAGATAAATTAAAAGGTTTAAAACATATGAAATTAAAATTAAAATTATATGATTTAAAATTTTTACTTATTGGAAAAATTGGGAAAAGAGGAAAAAACTCTGTAAACCCCGCCCCACGGGAGGATCGTAATATATATAGATATATATTATATATATTTTGATATATAATACTCCATCGGATACAATAATACATCTGGATCTGTATGGAACAAACAGTTAGACAATGCAACATTCGCATAACTGCAAGGTATACTAGCAATTTTTAATATCTCATATATATTCATATAATAATATATATTTCTCTCTCGTGTGTGCTTCCTGCGCGTTTCATGAAGACTTTCGGTTAGATAGGTCTTTCGATTTCTGCGAGAAAAGAAGGTACAACTCGTTTTGTGCATTTTGTTCCGTACGAAATATTTTTTTTGTTTTACAGTATTCTCCGTTTTTTTTTTCGTTTTTTTTTTCCTTTCTTGTTATATCGCTTCAAGCCCCGCCGCACGCGGGACGTGTGTGCAGTTGTGACGTGTCGCACATTATTTTGCTTCCTAGTAGCCCTTAAATCTTCGGGATAAAGTGTAAAATGCCCGGAGTGTCCTTCGAGGACGCGGCCGGGTCAACCAATGTCTCTTTACCCATACGTGACCGATCTCGAGATTCTCGAGATGAGAACGTGAGAGGGAAGATATCGAAATTATTTCCGTAGAACCTCTGTACGATGTCGATTTCGTATTTATTCTCACGAAATTATTTCCTTGCCGGAAAATATAAATTATGTACATACTTCGATTCGACCCGTTCTTCCTCGATTATTTTTTTTTCTCATTCACCGTTGTAAATATATACTCTTCTGCCAATTTTCCCTCCCTGCTTTATCGCCGAGAGCTATCGCCCGATTGTACCAGTTTGATACTCAAACGATCAATATTGTTTGCCACGAAATTCGACGCCCGACAGGAGTCCTCGAGTTACACTTCGATGACGAAGAATGAAAGGGCGCTCGGTGTGGTCCGCGATCCTTCTCGTGCGGCGACGGCTTTACACGGACTCTTAATATTCATTTCATGCAACATTTATCGTGGCGCGATCGCGGTTCGCCGGGGAAAAGTCGCGGGCTCCGTGATATCCGCTGATATCGTGTAATAACTGAAATGCAAATCATCAGCGAGGTAAATGCACCACTGAATGACCGCTTAGGCATATCGCTTCAGCTCGATCTCTTTCTTTCCTTCGTTGAGTGAAAATAAAATTATCGTCACACAGATATCTTTCAAGATATGATTTCTCTCAAATATTTGATGTTTCATTGATTTTACGCGTGAAAGTAACTTGGAATTTATAACGAAAGAGAGAAGAGATGAACTGAACTTTATAAGCAAATGAGAAAGTTCTAGTAAATACTTTGATCCATCACATTGAAGTCGAGGTAAGTATGTAACAGCCTTGGATTAATAGCACAATGCGATGCTCAGATAAAATCAACATTCATTTTTTTTAATAATGTCGTATTAATTATTAATTTGATGAAACGTTTTTGTGCTATCCTCAATTACGTCAGCCGCTAGTCATTTTGTAATAAAAAAATATTCCCCAAACGATAATTAATAATATTATGTTTTTTCTTCAGGGAAAAATGTAATTGCTTTACTTTAAAGGGCTTTCTACAATAACATTACCTAAATTTTAAGTTTTAAGTTTTAAGTTTCAGTAAGAAATTGTCCGATCACAGTCGAATATAAGAATAATCGACTGTTTTGGTTAATTAATTTATTTTTTTGTTAATTTCTTGTGGTAACTTTAAAGTTTAGGTAATAGCTTATCATAGAAAGCCCATAAAAGATGACGGAAGCATGTATTTAGTGAATATGTATTGATCAATTATTCAGTAGTGTACATACCCTATAATGAATTGAAGAGAAAATTGGAATAAAACATTGCACTGAGAAAAAAATTACTCGAACAAAAATCGAGCGACACGCTCCCCCTTGGATATTACGTCATATAAATAAATTATACGGTAATACCATGCTTAAAATTTATCCACGCAATTAGTATACATACAAACGTAATCGACTAGCTTGTTACATTAGTCGTGTAATTTGTTGATCTAAAATTTATTTGAGGCAAGATAATTTCGCTCATTCAAACATTTCTTTTTCTCTCAGTATAGGATAATCACAACGAAGATTTACGAACCTCGACGACGATAGGATGTCGCGAACCGCGGAAGCGCTAATTATCTTACCTAATTTGTTGATCGATTTTTAGTCTCGGTGAGAGTAAGGGTGCGCACACATCGTTCGTCGTGGTCGCGACATTCGCTTGAAATCGTGTCTCGCGATGTTACGCACCCTCTTATTCGCGATTTTTTTTTACTTTATATATATATATTCTCCGTTTTTTTTTTTTCGCTATTGAACACACGTACTCTTTCTCCCTGAGGCAACGTATTCGCCGTTTCCGGCGAGCGCAGAGCGACTGCGGTAACGTGACATGATGGATCGCGTTTTCGAATTTAAATACCCTCTCTCGTATTTAAATACCTAATGATAGCATATTTTGGCGATAGCATGTTCTTTCTGAGCATACAAAACGTTAGTGTCGCATCAAGATGAACAGTGGTATAAATCTAAGATGAGAGTACGAAAAGCTTGAACGTTCACTGTGTATTTATGAAAGCGAGAGCGAGAGAAACTCCCTATTAGAGACTTCTTACCATAGCGTGTTTTGAACACGTTAAATATTAATGTCGCGCTAAAGTCGCGTGTAGGGCGAATGATAATTTAAGTCCAGAATGGAAATTGCCGTTTTGCGCGGAACGTGGGAGCCCCGTGCGCTTGGCGTCTACTCGAAGTACGGTATCGCAAAAACTTCCTGTCTTCGTTGGAAAATCGATTTTCGCGACACGCTTGTTATTTATCGTCGTTTATCGTCCCGTAGGAAGTTTCTCTGCGCACGACGGTTAGTTTGATTATTCGTGGTATGGCGGTTAACAAAGTTAATGACTGATAGGGTGATCGGTAATATGTATCGTCCTAAAAGGAAGCGACATAGTTAAACGCATCGTCAAAGGAAGGGCAAAGTTAAGTTTTATCGTCTTTTTTTCTTCTTCACTATGCAATTTGCCTTTGTTTCACCGCAGGGCCGCTAATGATCATTCTTGATTAAAAGGAGAAACGCGGACGAAACCTCAGACAAGTAGGACACTATTCTTGGTTCTCCACCTCTTTTGCGCGAAATCGAGTCTGACATTTTCCGAATGCGTTCGCGAACGATTCTAAACCAACGAATGTCTACTAGGTAACTCATCTTTAAATATACTATGGGATTTTAAGCCGTATGCAGAGTGCCCTAATAACGTGCTATTTTGGTAGCAAACGCGGAGGCATTGCAATAGCAGTTATTAGCGTGGAAATAGCGTACTGTAACGCGACTGCGTGTACATCAAGCGTTAATTTTTCTGCACTCGAAACAAATTACGCTTTCTTCCAACGAGCATTTTTTTCAATCGCTTATGTAATTAGAATAAATGCGATAATGCAATTTGCATGTTGATGGAATTAACCCTTAGTATACGCGGTGATATTCTAATCCTTTATTAACACACGATGAGTCATTCGTGTCTTGGATTAATTTTCATCACTTTTACAAGTATATAAACATTAATAAGTGTTCTTTCACATATTATACCTTAACACTAGAACCGCTAATGGCGCCATTTTGGCTCCGCTAATCATTTCATTTTTTCTTTTCTATATTTGATATATAGTATAGAATAATAAAAATATGTAAACATAATATGAATAATTTTAACGAATATTACCAGTATAACTTTCACTAAACGAACACAAAAATAGGAAAATACCAAATTGACATCTTCAGCAGTTTTAACGGAATATCATCAACGGTTCTAATATTAACATCTTTAAAGGAAGTACTTATAAAGTTATGTATATATTTATAAAAAAAGATAAAAGAGATCATTATTTAGCCAAATGCTCTTAGTATTTCAAAGAAAAGAAACGCGCAGGATCCAATCGTGTGTTTTAAAGGTTAATGCTGCGATTCTATTATTTTACGATGATTATTAAACAAGACTAACAAGAATTTTCCAAGAATGTTTGTGATAAATAAAATACGACACACATAACGCGAGTTTTAATGGATTCGCATCGCGTGTCATGCTTCTGGGATGTCTCCCCGATAAGTCACGTGCCTTCCGCAGTCGTCCACGTCGTGTGTTGCGGCCTTTTTCAAGAGTATATAACAATTTGTGCCGAGTCCGAATGTAGAGAGAGCAACATAGGCGCGAATCGTCCTCAGAGAGAAATAGAGATAGATAAAGACGGCGAGGAAGATACAGAGACGGAGAGGCCTTCTGCCTTCCCGAGACCTCCTAGGAAATTGACATTTGCGCGAAGGGCCCATTACCCTAGAAACCATTTTTTTTCCACTGCCACTTACGATAAGAGTAAAAATTTATACAAGTTCTCCGTTGACGATCGAAGGGTCCTTGGCTGTTTCCTCGGACTCGGTGATGCCACGTATCACCGAGGATTGAATAAAAATCGAACGAGTTGCTGTTAAGAGTAAGCCAACATCCAATGTTAATGATTATAAAGTAACTTTGTAGTTTTTCACTTTGCACTTTTGATTCCCGCCTCGCTGGAAATAAAAACAAAGAACGAAGTACACAAAGTGAAAAGTTACGAAGCTCCTTCGTGGCGCAAAACATATAAGCAAGTGTTATTTATTCGAGGATTCTTCTAAAAAAAAGAGCAAAGAATTAAAAATCGAACCGATATCGAAACACGCGTAATAGTAATTACGATAAATGAATGGAAATGATTATAATGGATTGTTATTTGTCGTTCAAATGTGTTTTGGTTGTCAAGAAATTGAGAGTGGAAGATTGATAGAATCACTGGGAGCTTATAAATGGCTATCCTCTTCACTTAGGCATTTAGAATCTAATTCAGTCGCATTT